GCCGAGTCAAGTGGCAAATGCCTTGCTAAATTAAAAATAGATTGCTTCCACTGCTCTCCTGCCTTAACAACTCCTTAACCTGTTGCTCCCACACTGTTGGCTGCTACTTTCCTTTCCAAGTGTTGCTGTTAAGTGCAAGGAGCAGGTTTTGCTTGTGAAGACTAATATCCAGAATACTGAACACTTAAGCATTTTCTTTTCCACCTTCTACTAGGTTGTCTTACCATGCCATCAGTGGGCTTAGATTTTTCCCTTTGGAATAAGGATACCTGTAAATATCCTCTTTGTCACCTTCAGCACCCTCATTAATCTTAGTTTGAGCTGGGCTTCATCTGTGATTTTGTTCCTCCATACCCAAGAAATGCTTTTATGCTGTGCATTTGCTGCCTGCCCATATTGTCATCTCTTGTATGCTCCCATCTTGCCTTCTTGTTCATTGAGAAACATCCTGCTGGGCCAACTGGGTCTTCTGCTGAAATTCCATGTCTTCCTGCAGAAGAGACTTCGTGAGTTCTCAGCAGTTTTCTCTTTCAAAATAATTCAGCTCTCTTGGGGACCCTTCTCTTTCATGTGTGCAATACCCTAAATCAAACAAAGTCTCTTCTCCTAAAAGAGAAGAGACTTACTTTCCCGACATTTCTCTGGATACTGAACCTGGTCATCTCATAGCTGCTGCAGTCCAGGCAATCCTCTGTGACTGTATTCACCACCAGTTCTTCCCTCCCTCAGGGAGAGGAAAAGCTGAAGTGTTTCTATTTCATTATGCAGGTGGGGAGAAAATCAACTCTCATTCCATACTGTTTTATCTTAAAATGTGTGTGGATCATATATATACTTGCATAAGTGAGAATGTGGTGGTTATCACATTCTTTTTTTGTACTGTTACTCATCTGCATAACATGCTGTCAAACCTCCATGAAATTGTGGGATACTAGGGACAGCAGAAAAGGGACATCAGAGAAAAGATGATGTCCAAAAAGATTGCTGAAATTACTGCAGTTCATTTGTAAACCTCAGTGTTTTGTTAACTGTGCTACACTTGATTATTTCTTAAGAAACATACCTGTAAACTTCCGGTTGAGTGCATTGATTGTGTTTTTTTCCTGTCTGTATGAAATCTGAGGTGTGTACACACAAGGGCATGAAACCAAAACACCTTGCACTGAATAGATCATGTAGAATTCAGTGGTTTTGCTGAAGTGTCGGTTCCTGATACAAAGCAATATGTAGCTTTAAGAGCTTTATTCTGGACAAATCACAAAGTAGTGGAAAGTATTATCTATAACTGCTTTGGACCATTTTTTATAGATGTTTGGAAACTGGACCTTTGGAACAGTGGTGTTTACTGTGCTTGTATTCACGGTTACATTGAAGGTAAAGTATGCTGTATTTTATCAATTGAAACTTTCTCAGAGCTTGTTTTCTAATTGCTGGTTACTTATATCTGTTTCTCTCTATGACCATACATTGCTGTGTTAATTTAAATTAGTTTAAATACAGATTTTGCTATTTGTGACTTCTTAGCTGTGCTCAAAATTGAAAAACGGGTTTTAGCTAATTCTGTGTAGAATCCTTCCCTTTTTTCAAAGGGTATTATTTTATTTCATCTCCTGCTGAGTGTTCTGTTGCTGCTAGATAGTAATAACACCACATAATCTCTTTTGGGCTTTTTTCAGCTTGCACTAGATACACACTATTGGACGTGGATAAATCACTTCATGATCTGGGGATCACTGGCATTCTACGTTATCTTTTCTCTGCTCTGGGGAGGAATTATTTGGTATGAACGCTAATATAAATTGCATTGCAAATGTTGTTTTAGCAACATAAAGTTGTTACATATTTCACCTTTTTGTCCCAAACAGAATTAAATTTAGCTTTTACACATTGAAGAACTCCCAATAGTAATCACATTTTAAACATACCAGTAGTGGTAATGAAAGAATATTCTTAAAGAATCTGAGGAGAATCTCAGACTGCCACTGGGGCTATGTCAGTAGTGTCAGTCAAAAGCAGTCCAAGGGTTGGTTCAAGGAGCTGGGGCTGGCTGGCTGAGGCAAAATATCAGAGAGTAGGTCACATCTATGCAGCTTGGGGCTAGCCACCCACCTACTAGACTTGTCTTGGAGGGAACTAGCTGTAGCAGTCTAGACTAGAGCCAGGGAGTGGAACTCACATTGACGTTGTGTAGATGACCAGGACTCCTGTGTTTGAGGTCATTATTTGTGCCCTCATTTAGGACCTATTTGTTCTACTGTTGGTAAGAAGACTTTTAAGAATTAGTATAACTCTTGTACATAGCAGATTGAAAGTTTGGGTTTTGTTCATTTGTTTGGTTTTTTCCTATTAAAAAAATCTATATACTTGAAATTGAAATTTTTGAGAAGGAGATCAAGTTGAAATAAATTCAAGTTCTTATTACGCCTGATTGCCATCAGGAACTTCAGTTTGCCTTTCTCACCTGTAGAGTGCCCAGTTACAAGGTTATCTTTTCTGCTTTCCTGCTTACCTGTTCTGCTGGAACATATTCTACTTTGTATGCATAAGTAAACAATTTGAGGGACTAGAGAGAAAGTAGACGCTAACTGTTGCATGTGATTAAGGTGCCATTTAATTTGGAGTAGGGATTTGTATTTCAGTCTGTCCTTTGCAAATGAGTAACTACCTGTCAACTCCTTGGATATTCAATAGCCTAATTTTTTTCTTCAGTAAAGTCAGATCTGAGTTGCTTTAGTACCAGAATGCAAACAGTTTGCAGAAGTGATATTTTCTCTGATGATGTTTTGCAGCCAGCCTTTGCTGTGTATTAGAGATGTGACTATTTACATGCAACAATATATTTTAACTTGATTACCTTTTTAGAATGCAAAGACTTCGATCAAATTTTGGAAACTAGCAGGAAACTGCACTGCTGGTAGGAGGGCTTTACGCTGCAGTGTTGCTACAAAGTGTTTGTTGATCTTTGCTCTCAGTAAACATGCCCCCTAGTTCCCATTACCGTACAGTGATGGCATTTTAGTGGCCACACAACTGCCATAGGGATACTGGGAAACAGAAGTGGAGGTGGTGAAAGTGAGGGCAGAGAAAAATGGGGTGAATAGGTTAGGGAAGCATAACATGAAGCCATCGGAGATGCTTAGGGGAGCTTGAGAGGTATGAACAAAGGTGTGGTCAATAAGTCTTACTTTGAGGACACATACAAACAAGTGTTTGATGGGAAAGAGGAGGGAATTGATGGGTGGGACACTGGAAAGAAAGGTGGAACGTAT